CCCCCCCCCCCCCCCTTTTTTTTTCCAAGACGAGCCAAAGTTTGACAGCGATGAAGATGACAATGGCCCAGCCTTCTCCTACTCCAGTAGCACCGTCTTTGACAAACCTGCACCAGTGAAGAAAGGTATGGCCCTTGCCTTCCACTAGGGGGCTCTGTAGCACTGCCATTCACGCTGCCATGATGAAATCCTAGGCTTGAAGCGCGTCTCCTTTCTGTGGAGGTGTAGATGCATTGCGGCCAAACCCTGCATCATTCCCATAATGTGGCTCCATCTCTTACCCAAGACCATGTATCAGATTTTATCAGTTTTGCATAGAGTTCAATGCTTAATTCAAGGCTTTTTACACTCCATTAGCAGCGGTCACTGTCAGTCTGAGCTCATTAAAACAGCCTATACATAATGTGCCGTCTTATAAAAAAATAATGGACATAAGTCACCAGGCACTGTAAATGGGCTCAGGTGCAGAACTAGCTGTTAACGTAGTGCAGACATTGACGGTGCTTGGTGGTTGTTGGTTCTCGCAGCAGCTAAGAAGCCGTCAGAAGCAGCTCCCAAGCCTAAAAAAGCTCCCAAACCCAAGAAGCCGGACTCCTCCATCTGGGACTCCGACTCGGACGGCGGCACCAAAAAGCCCACGCCGACGAAGGGTGCGAGCCTCCATTTTTCGCCTGTTTCCCGCCTCGGTCGTTGCTTAAAGTAGCGCTAACAAAACAAAAATGCTTTCAGACGGAGGACTGGGCTTTAAAGAGCACATCTGGCTGATGTTCTTGTGATTTCTTTTTGTTTGGTAAACACGTTTAACTGGGTCTTTTGTTCATGCAGGTAGAGGCAGGGGGCGAAAGAGGAAGAATTCTGGTTCTGAGGAAGATGAGTACAGTCCAATGAAGAAGGCCAAGAAGCCGGCAGCTAATCGAGTGAGTCACACCAGTCTTGTATGAGACTCCAAGCATTGGTGTGATGGAGCGGTTAGCACTGTTAACTCATACCTGTGACCAGGGTTTGAGAAGATGGATGGATGGATGTTTATTCTTCTTTTGAGGAGTGACTCAGTATAGCTGCCCCAATTTTGAACCTGACTCTTTCACGTTTCTTTGTCTTGGTTTGTGCTCCAGAAGTCGAAAAAGGCCACGTCAGATGACGAGCTGGACACACACAGCTTCGAGCAGTCAGACACGCCTTCGAGAGACAGGCCGGGTCGGGCCAAGAAGGAGGTGAAGTACTTTGCAGAATCGGACGAGGACGACAACGACCAGTACGACATGTTTGACTAGGTGCTCGATGGGATCCCCGTAACACACACATGCTCGTGAAAAAACTCCCGTCCTTAGTCCTGCAACTTTTGTACTTTTTTTTCCTTTTTATGATTTTTTTTTTTTTGGTGATGTTAAATGCTTTCTACTGTGTAGGTGTTTCACAGTTTTTATTATACATAAACAGTTTTGTTTTTTATCATTGAAATGTTATGTATTTGTTCTAAGCAGCTTTTAGAGGTCTAGATCGCGGTGCCTAAGCACATATTTTAATTGTTAAAAGTAAGAGACTATGTTCCTTTTTGAAATGAAGTTGGAAGTAAACAGACTGTAAATTACTTCGGCCATTTGTGTCTTCATCAATAGATGTGAAATGACTGGTTTGTACAAGATGACCGTAAAGGGATTTTACGCAACCAAATTTAGAGGTGAGGACCAGACGCTGATACAGCGTGTTGCCACACCAACCACACGAGCCGCCTGAGTGATCAGAGCCCACGTGCAGCCAGGTGGCAGGTGACACCTCAGCACCACACTACTTCAAATGGAATGGAATAGTGTGACGTTTTTTTCTGGTGGCTAGAGTGCCGATCCTGCCACCAACCCACAGATTTACCCTGGACGTTGGAGGACCTGCTTGCAGGGCTGGATGTAGATTAACATCATACCCAGGATGAAGCAAGTGCAGGTTAAGGGCGTCACTCAAGGGCCCAACAGAGTAGGGGCATTCACAGGATTCGAACCAGCAACCTTCCGATTGCCAGCACACATCTCTGCCCAATTTGGCCAAAGAAGTAAAACTTGAATTCATTTTGGGCGATTGAATCATTGGGACAGTTTAGGTCCAGAAAGTGTAAATCTAGACCAAGACAGTTTCAGCCAACCAGTTGAGTACTCTGTGACTGACTCTTTATACTCAACTGGTTGGTTGAACTACTTTCTGGACCTGAAATCTCCGGCTCTGTATTGAGTGAAAGGAACGCCAATCTGAAGAGGAGTAATGGATAAGGATTCCAGAGTAAGACTATATTTGGGCAAGAATAAGCTAACCAATGGATTAAAACAAAAAATACCCATTTGTATTAAAAAAAATACTCATTTGTATTTTAAAATAAATATATTTTTATTTAGCCAGATTTCATGGTAAACAGTATATGAACATAAAAAGCATTGTTTAATGTACAAACAGGAGCCAGTGGAAGAGATGGAACGGACAGAGATGCATAAGACAGGCCCCGCCCACTTAAGCCTCGTCCTTTGAGGGGGCAGGCAGCTACGGACATACCACTGAAGCGTTCCTCTAGTGCGGCGTTTCCCAATCCGGTCCTCGGGGCTCCACAGACAGCTGGGAGTGAGCAGAACCGTGGACTGCTGTAGGTCCCCGAGGACTGGATTGGGAGTCTGCTCTAGTATAAAGATTTAAACCCCCACAGCTTCCAGTGAATTAATCGGAGTCACACTTAGTGTCCATTGATTATTTTACACATATATATATACACACACACATTTGAGGGTTTCGCTTGCACACTGGTGGCCTGAGTGCTCGCTTAAGGCCTTATCGACACGTCCCCGACCCAGAGCACTCAGATTGGCCTCTTTTTCTTTTTTTTTAACCTCTGCAGACGAGGGCCGTTCCACGGTTAAATATTTTCCAGCTTTCGCCGCTGATTTTCCTGATTTTGCCGCCCTCGACGCAGGAACACCAGCACAGTCTGTCGCTGCGTTCTCATTGGGGTGCCCCCCCCCCTCCAATTATCCAAGACTTTAATCCACAATAGTTCGGCGGGCGTACACTCCGTCACTACAGAATTAACTCATTTAGGCTGGCATCCCAACGACGAGGGCCGTCGACAGTGCAGTCCAGTGCACGGAACCGCAGGCTGGCGACTAGGTCAGGTTCCTGCACCCCTAGACACCAACGCGAGGCGGGGGGGGGGCCTCTGGGGCCATCGCTGCGGCCCCCATGGCGACTATATTTACATCAAAAAATAAGTTGGAAACAAAATGACATTCAGCAAGGTGTTTTTTTTTTCTTTTTCTTAAACAGTAACCGGCATTCCAACATTTTCCCCAGAGTTCCCCTGCTGGTGGATTCTGCCAGTTAACGGACACATCTCACATTCAGTTGGTGCAACAGAACCAGCTCAAGAGATGTACCTGTGGTTATCATTCTTAAAAGTGATAGCTTTCACATTTTACATTACACAGAACACAGCCCATGACATTCATACACTCTTCCTTTGATTTCACAAATCCCAATAACTGACACACGTTGGACTCGTATGCACGGTCAGCTCAGGAATGTGCATTTCTTGAGTGGCTCAACTGCCAATGACTGAAAACACGTCCAGCGTAGATATAGCATTACTACTAGCCAGTGAAAGGTTTCAGACTTACTTTCGGCCCTTTGTTATGCGTTATGCTCTCCCATCCACATCAGTGTGAATGACCCAGCTAACATTCAAAGGATGGAAACAAAACAAGTCATAATTTCTGGATCTTGGTAAATGGTCTTGTCTGGCTTGATTAGGATTTTTTTCTCGTAGATTGTGTGGTACTAATAGAGAAGTCATTGCTCCCTGGTTTACAGTAACGCTACAGACTCTCTCCTTAGGGCCCCCCCACCCCCGAGATTTTTTGAAGTATCCAATTAAATAGGAATGCGTGTCTTCTGACAGCACTTAGGAGTAAAGGGACCACCAGGACGAGTGTACGAGACCCCCCCCCCCAATGGCTTCTTCACCGCCGGCATTAGCAGCTGCCGTATTTTCATGGGTATATTACGAACCCTTTAATTAAAAAGGCAGCTTCACTGCTGCCGTTCTCCCCCAGAACCCGTGTGTTTACATCCGGGCCGTGGTGGCCGACGCCCCCAATTACACGAGACCCCTGTGGTTTTCAAAGCCGCCTTCTGCTCACTGTACGCGGCCAGTTTTCCACTCCTAATAAAACTCAGAGGGCCTGTTGGGTAACTGGAGGCTTCTCACTTTGCTCTGCAAGAAGAATGGGCTGCTTTTTCGCTTCTTTATTTCTGTTGCTGGGTAATCAGTGGCGTGTGACTCAGTGGCTGGGGGGGGTGGACTTTGATATAGACACAGCCAGTTACCCTACAGCGTGTTCCCAAAGCAGAGCAAACATCATTAGAGAATGAGGCTCACTTGGGCTGATGCGATTACCTTACTCATAGGGGGGGGGGGGGGGCGGATTCACTTTCTGTTGTGTAGCAGGCTTAGTAAACAAAACACTCAGCCACAGGTTATCCTGACACTATAACCAACCATCAAAAAAACATCCAAAGTCGCAGAATTGCTCCGATGCTCGTAGAGATATTTTAGGTTTAAACAATACATTCAGATTGAAGCACTGAAAATCCGGTTTCCCAGCTCTAGTAACTTTAGATCTATGGTTCTGGAAGCTGCTTCCTGGTGCAGTTTAAGGCTGGGAGAGATGGGGGGGGGCAGAAGGGACTTCCTGCATTCTGCCCATGTGCAGACAAACGTACGTGTAGTGAAATGGGACTTTGCATTTTTTTTGTTTTTTCTTTTCAAACAGCTTTAAATTACGAACAAATACAAAGTAGATTCCCCCTCTACCTACACGAGGACATTCTATTTTAAAGGACTTTTAAGTCAGGTTTTTACTTTATTGTACAGCTTTGCCTTAAAATTTTGCGTATTTAAGACAACGAGGAAGCACCATGAGATCAAAACAAACAGTGGCTTCACCATACGATGGTATGTACAATGTTACGGCGGAGCATGGTGCCTGTATGGGACCTGGGAGCCCATCATGCAGCTACGGACTTGCACGCGTGACCTGAGCGGAGTTCACCTGCGCAGGCATCCGGCTGGACGCCCTCGGGTCCTGATGCGCATGGCAGGTCCCAAGGGCAGGTTGCCCATAAGAGCTCAGTAAGAATTATACAGGAAACACTGGTCCTTTCAGGCCTTGGGGTGGAGGGGTGGGGGCAAAGGTGGGTACTTTTGAGCACGTTCTCCGCCCATCCAACTGGTTTTGTGCAAAGTTAACGTCCGAGAGTCCGCCGGAGTGGGGGAGGAGTAGCTGAGTCACACTCCGATCCTCCTAAGGGTCGTCGGCGGGCGTAGGGGCGGCGCCGTCGGCGGACTCCGGGGACGGGGACCCGCGCTCGGGTTCCTCAGGGTCAGCCTTGTCCTCAGAGCCGCCCTGCGCTTCCTGGCCCTCAGAGTTCTCCAGCATCTCCTGGATGAGCGGGGGCATGGAGCCCGGAATCTCCATCTTCAGCGAGATGACCCGCTCCGCACCTGTGAGACAGAGTACTGCCTTCAGTCACGTGCCAACTGGAACGATCCGGAGCTGCTGACCACATAGACTGGGAGCTTAAACACTGGGCTGAGGGCTGCAGGACCTTGATCTCAGACGGGCTTCACCTTGCCCTTCAGTAGCCAGGACTATACAAGGAAACACAGGGATATGAAATCCAGACTATATTCAGGGTTCTTGTGTAGTGACTGTTTGTGGCCAACAGGGGGCCCCCAAACCACAGGGCCACCACACAAATGTGTGGTTGGTATGACGGTAAAACCTGCCACTGATTACATTGCAGGTCTTTCAGGAACTGAAACAGACACTAATAAATAACATGCATAGATCAGTAATTTGTAGGAAGCTCTATTCAGACCATTCCCAGAACTGGGCTATTTGGGGAAAATAGCCTTTTCTGCTATCTGCAGATGAAGCTACAGATGGAAGCAGAAATCTGCCCAGGAGTTTATTATTATTGCAGCCATTTCTCTTCAGCGTGGAGCAGTCTGGAATTAGCTTTTAATTTACATAATATCAGCATTTAAAGGCCCTGCTTTGTGCTTGCGGACTGGAAGGGCCCAGCAGGCACAGAATCGGACAGCCTGCGCTGGGCGAGAGGCCCCGGGATGGGGCGAGCCCTCCGAGAGCGGCCCAGGCACCTTTGGCACTGATGCTGCGCAGGTCGGTGATCTTCATCAGCGTCTTGGGGAACATGTGCGGCTTGCTGGGCCGCCGTTTTCGCACGTAGATCTTCAAGGCCTCCAGAAGCGGTTCCTGGAGCTGGTCCACCTTCGAGGGCTCCTCCAGGTCCTGGCGGTCTGGAAGAAACGCTACCGTACGTGAGCAGATCCCACGGCGAACGGGGACCATGGGCTGAGCCGTCTACATGACCAAAACCAAGATGTTACCATTCCAGCAAGCCGTCGATTCTGGATGCCTGCGGTCAATGTCCAGCTGAGCAAATATGTAAAAGTAAACAGTCCTGGACAAAGGAGCACTGCTAGGCAAAGAGACACCAACAGGGGCGTCACCCAACTGAAACCACTCAAGGCATCTCACACGCTTTGCGTTCCACTTCCAACAGCCAACAGCCACCATCCACAGAAGTCCTGCCTGGACCGGAGGATCACAAATGCTCGCTCCCCTGCATCCAAACACTATGGAGCTGGGAAAAATACCAACCTCAGCCCCCCCCCCAATTTTTCCCCACAAACCAACGGAGGCCCTGCAGTTCCTTGGGCAGCCTACAGATGGTGCTGTGGGTCCTTGCAATCCGGCGACTGCCAGTTTGCACCCAGCGAATCAGGAGGGCCCAGGCTACACACTGGCGCCTCTCACTCAATTTCTCTTTGATTTCATAACGTTGTGTGATATTTGACAGATTTCACACTCAGTGGACCTGGACCTTGAATTGGACACCGGCATTAATTTCCCATCCCCTACAGAATTTCCCCCCCAAGATGTCTGCCATTGTCTCCATTCAATAGGCGACACCAAACCCAATTTGAATTCACACGGAGTCTTGCTTTTTTTTTGTCTGCTTCTTATGCCAAAAACAGAGTTCAAACTCAGGGTATTCTCTGGTGGAACATCACAAAGAGTCCCAATTTCCTAAGAGACAGACTTTGACACTTCACATCTGCAGCTCCACTTTCATCCTGTGAGAAAGTATAAACCCGTCACACTGAAGACGTGTCTTCAAGGACACTACCTGTCCCAGCCACTGAAAGGCTGCGTTTATGCAGTTATAACCCTACAGGCTGGGACACACTATACACTTACATTTACTCACTCAGCACCATTTACTGCAGGGCCAAACACACACGGAACCCCAGTCCCACGTGACCAGAGCACGAGCCGAGCCCTCGTCCTACAGAAACTCCGCCTCCATCCCTCCCTCTCCCTCCTCTCCCTAGCCCCCACACTCTCCCCCCCCC